TGACCTCAAGGGTCCGGGCTATGCTAAGTTGGGTGTTTGCTGGAGCTCATCAAGGCTCCTAATTAGTGCGGAGAATCTAGGTCACGGCCAGGGTGGCAGTGCTGGTCTCAGGGGCAGGACTGAAGGTGAAGAGCAGCAGACAGGCTCCCGCCTATGGGTGGGGGCTGGGAGGAGGGCATGATGGGACTAGCGTCTTCTTCACAGACAGGTGACATGCAGAAGGGTGCAGCATGTATGCATGTGTGCACACGTGTGCATAAGTGTACGTGTGCATATGTATGAGTGTGGGGGTGTGTGCGCGTTCATGTGTGTGGGCATGAGTCTGTGTGTATGTGGTGTGTGCACGTGCACATGTTTGGGTGTATCTAAGTGCATGTGTACATGCAATTCTGTGCGTTAGCGTGTGTGCATGTGTGCACGTGTGTATCAGTATCTGTGCTTCTATGTCTGCATGTATACCATGTATACGTATGCGTGTGTGTGTGCGTGTCTGTGTGAGTGTGTGTGTGTGTGTGTGTGTCTGTGTGTGTGTCTGTGTTTGCTCTGCCATTCTGAGTTCCTCTCTAGCCTCTCCATATATGGTTTCAGCTCCCAGGCAGGCTGGGGATTGGCTGTGCCTTTGGGATACTGAATAGGATGCAGCAGAAACAGAACTGAAATTGCTAGTGGGGAAGTGTGGGGTGGGGGTGGGGTGCACAGGGTGGTGGGCCCCAGAGTTGCAGAGTGGGGCAGGGGTCACCTACCTACGGGGCTCCAAGGGGGCACCATCCAGGGGCCGGAGAGGCTGAGTTACAGGTGCAGCATGTGTTCTGTTCAGGCTGACGACATGGGAGTTGGAAGACTTGCGGGTCCCCCAGCCCCCTTTCTTCCACCAGCAACAGCCTGCAGGGGGAAGCCCGCGAATGGACTTTTCAGGTCAACATCCGCCACTCAAACAGGAGCCGCCGAAGCGCGGTCCCTGTGGCCAACCCAGGCAGGGGGAACTGCAAGGAAGAGCAGAAGGAAGGTGGAACAGAATGGCGCCTGGTCCTGCCCTTGTCTGCCCCTCACTGGTGCGAACTCTGCACCTTGGATTTCCTCAGCTAGTGTCCTCCCCGCAGCAACCCTCGCCTGCTTTACTGCGTCCAGAGCCTCGTGAGGTCGTTTGGAAAGTGGAGGAAGAAGCAGGTCTGGGAGCAGCTGCCGAGGGAGTAGCTGCCCACCGCCTCCCACGGCAGAGCCAGGCTGAGGAGCCAGGGAGTGGGGGGCGGGGGGAGGGGCGGGGCGCTGAGACTAGAGGAATGGGCCGCTCAAGGCCGGGAGGATGGACAATGGGGACAGGCCTGGTTCCAGCCTGCTCATGACCTGGAGCGATGTGACTGCCTGTCCCAGTGCTCTAGGCCTCCTGCTGCCTGACTGAACTTTCAGTATCCAAGTCACAGGGATGATGCTGTGGACACCGCACCCAGGCACCTACGTTCCACCAGGGCTAGCGAGATAGTACATCCGGGAGGGTCCTTGCCTCGCATGCATCTGACCTACAGTAGGTCCCTGGCATCCCATATGGTCCCCCGAGCACCATCAGGAGTGATCTCAAAGTGCAGAACCAGGAGTAACCCCGAGTAGTGCTGGGTGTGACCCAAATCAAACCCCCTGCATAAAAAGAACATTCTATCCTCATACCCATTCGGTGTTTGCAGGGGAGACTGACACCCCAACCGACAAGAGCTCCAGATTTGAATCCAGATGTCTGGTTCTAAAGAGGGGTTTATTTTACCACCTTACATCCTGGCTCTGGGGCGCTCGAAGTGCTCCAGCCAGGTACCTGTGCTCCGCCCCTGGGAAACTCATCCCTCTTCTGTCCCCCCAGGGTCTCCTGGAGGCCTCGCCCTCCCCTGGGAGCCACGGAGGCATGGGCCACTGGGAGACACCCGTGGTTCTTGGTTTCATCCCCTTCCTCTTTGAGGGGGAACTGCAAGGAAGAGCAGAAGGAAAAGGGGAACGCTGGTTAAAACGAATATGCAAAGATGATACTTCGAAAAAGGAAGTGCTGCTTCCCGAGACTTCCATGTTCATGACAAGAGCGACGCTGGCACTGGGCTGAGCACAGAAGACGGGTCTGGAGACGCGGATGCTGCCCTCTGACCCCAGGGACCCACAAAGGAACAGGGGCTGAGTGCTTTTTCTGTACTCCTGGGGGTTTTTCTCAAGACAAGAGACCAGAAAGTCAAATAGAGGGAAATTTTTCCTGAGGGCTGCGAGCCTCAATGAGGCCATGTCACCTCTTTGCTGGAGTTGATTTGTGTGTGTGTGTGTGTGTGTGTGTGTGTTTTGGGACCACACCCTGGCACTCAGGGCTGCCTCCTGGCTCTACTCATGGTTCACTCCTGGTAGGTTCTGGGGACCTGAGGTGCCTGTGGGGGGTGGGGGTGAATCTGAATCAGCAGCATACCAGGCTAGAGCCTGACCCACTATACTATCACTCCAGCCCAAAGGAGAAAAAAAATTTTTTTTTTTTTGCCATGCCTGTTAGTGCTCAGGGTTACTCCTGGCTCTGTGCTCAGGGATCACACCTGGTGGGGCTCAGGGGACCATGTGGGATGCTGGGGATTGAACCTGGGCCTCCGTGCTGTGCTGAATCTCTGGGCCTCATGACCGGAGTGACTGGGCTAGCTGAGCCCTCAGCTGTTTAGGTGGGCTGTGGGTAACAGAATGATCTGCATTTCCCTCAGGACCTCCCTTCTCGCCCACCCTCCCCCTGGCACCCACTGAGGCTGCCTCAGGCTCGGGTCTACAGCAGGATCCTTCTGGCCGTGCCACTGTCGAAGGGTTGAAAGCCCTGGCAGGGCCTGCGGACTGGTTCTAGCTGCAGCCAGGGGATGTGCTTCCCGTAGTGGCTGACAAGGTCCCCCAGGGGACATTAAAAGTTGGGCAGGGGAGCTGCTCTGGATAGAACTGTGGGTGACTTTTGTGGAGGGCAACACCCGGCTCGGTGCTGGGGACTGGGGTGGGCTCTGGACTGCCCACGTGCAAAACCATACTCTGGCCCTTCTGTCTGTGTGTCCGGGGACAGTGACCGTCCTGTCCACTTTAACTTCCTCCTCCCCAGGCAATAAGTCTTGGCTCTGAAGTGACAGATTTTGGAAACGAATCAAGAGGTCCAGGAGTGGTCTCCAGACAATTCTGCGCCCCGCGAGGCTCGGTCCCCATCTTTCCACAAATCCCATTTTACTTTTATAAACATCCCTCCTCCCTTTTTTTGTCATTAGGCCATCCCTGGCAATATTGGGGACCACCTGGGGTACCGGTACCGCGTGCAAGGCAAACGCCCTCCCCACTAGTACGCGCTGGCCCTGCTTCATGGCCCTTTTTGACCTGATCTTAGAAACTTCTGAAGAATCAAATGAAACAGCTTGAAAGTGGAGACCTTCCACAGACAAGAATTTAAGGGTCTGGAAGGGCCAGCGCCGCCGGGCAGGGTTGCTGCTGGGCATAACGATGGTTTTTGCAGTTGGGGCTTGACTAGGAGTGGAAGTAGACGTGAGGAAGCAGAGGCGGAGCGGGAGGAAGCTCCAGCGCGGCTGGGCAGAGGCCTGGTGGTTTCCGAGTTTAGTTTCAGGCTTAGTTTGCTGTTTTTTGTGTGTGTGTGTGTGTGTGCGGGGGGGGGGGGGGGGGGGGTTGTGCCAAATCTGACAGTGCTCAGGGCCTATTTCTGGCTCTGTGACCAGGGATCACTCCTGGCAGTGCTCGGGGGATCCTATGTGGTACCTGGGATTGAACACAGGTCGGCCACATGCAAGGCAAATGCCGTGCCCTGGCTCCATTTTGCTTCTTCTGTTGGGCACCTCCAGGCCAGACCAGCAGCCCGGCCCCGCGACGCACTGGGCTGTTGCTCTGAAGAGTGTTGGGGTCTGGGCATGAAGGGAAGGAACCCTGTAGTGACAAAACTCGAAGATCCTTCTCCTGGAGCTGAGTGCAGAGTCTACAGGCAGGAGCCTGGGCTCGACCCTGCACTCGGTGATCCCTGAGCACTGCCAGGAGCGATCCCTGAGTGCAGATCTGCAAACAACCCGAGTGCCGCCTGCTGTGACCCAGAGACCAAACCCAAGGGAGTCAGGAGCCAGCAATGCGGCATGCCAGGCCTGAGTGAGGCTCTGGGTTGGGTCTCTGGCACTGCTCTGGGCTCCCACGCCCCAGTAACACTGGACGTAGCTCTGGGTCCCCAGATGTGGCACTCACAGCAGCAGGGAAGGCAGACAGCCCATCACGGAGAGACGGCTGTGAGGCCAGGCTGGCGGGACCAGCTCCCGTGGCACAAAGAGACCAAGAGCACCCCCACCCTGGAGCTCACGCTGGGCAGCTGGAACGTCACCCCGAGACTGACAGCTGGGATGGGGTGAGAGAGAAAGCCCCTATTGGGCCGGGAGGCTCACAGGCTGGTGCCTGGGCTCCACTGTGCGCTGCAGGGGCCCCGGGCATCCGAGGACCACTGTTTCCCTGCAGAACTGGACGGCCATCGTGGCTTTGGGAGCAGCAGTGCACCCTGCTTTGTCCCCTAGCACACGTGGGTGGTCGGACTGTGCCTCTTACCCCCAGGTGAAAGTTTTTGTCTTGGGCCACACCCAGCGATGCTCAGGGGTTCCTCCTGGCTCTGCGCTCAGGGATCACTCGCGGCGGGGCACAGAGGACCACATGGGACGCCAGGGATGGAACCCGGGTCAGCTAGGTGCGTGTCAGGCAAGGGCCCTACCCACTGCACTATCTCTCTGGCCCTGGCGAAGGTTCCCAAACACAGCTTGAGGGGCATCACCTCCCCGACTGTGAGGCAGCTGGGGTTCAGGGAGACTGTGGGGGCGGCCCAGAGAGAAGCAGGGACTCAGGACAGCAGCTGGCGTGAGGCTCGCACGTCAGCGGGAGCGGATGAGGACACTCATGGTTTGTTTCCTTTCTTTCTTTTTTTTTTTTTTTTGGACTGAGGTAAATAAAAAAGCTTCTTCTGGGACACTGGGAGGGAAAGAAAAGTCTGTCCCCGCCAAGTCCGCTGGTGAGCGTCACATCAGGCTCTTCCGGAACTGTGAGCGCGGGGTGGCCTGGGCGGGCTGGGGCTCGGGGCCCCGCAGGTCCATCTGCCGGTACAAGTCCCGCAGCTCCTGCACCTCCTGCAGCACCCGCTTGGCCTGGCTCCAGTTCGACGAGGCTTCCCCGAGCAGCCGCTCCGTCTCCTGCAAGAGCTGCTGGGGCTCCGCGCCCGGGGGTGAGCGCTGGGGGCCCGCGGCCTTCCGCTTTCGGTCCCCCAGGCCCTGCACCTCGGCCAGCAGCTCCTGGGTCTTCTCCAGCTTCCTGGCCACCAGGTCCTGGATCCGGGAGAGCTGGCCCGGCTGGGGTGTGCCGGGGGTCGGGGTGTCCTTGGGCTGCAGCTGGAGGGGCCGCCCCAGGCCCGGGTCCCTCTGTGCCAGGATCTCCTCCAGGGAGGCACAGCGGCCCTTCTCGGTGGGGGTCAGCTTCTTGGGTGCCTGAGGGGTGTAGGGGGCCCCCTTGTCTGGCTTCTCCCAGGGCCGGGCGAGGCCCCGCGCACGGTCCGCGGACGGCTGGACACGGTCCGAATCTGCCCTCCGCCGGCTGCCAGCCAGCTGCGCCACTGACTTGTCCAGGTCCACTCGGAAGCTGTCGGCGCAGGAGGCCGATCCCTCGGGGGCAGGGTCCTCCTCCTGGATCAAGTCCAAGGTCAGCATCCCATCGGAGGTAGAGGTCGAGGCCTGGGGAGGGAAGGGGAGGGGAGGGCATCAGTGGCCTCGGGAGCGGCAGTGCCTGCCGCTGTGCCCCCACGGCGCCCGGGTGAGAAGCGTCCACCAGTGCCAGGGCTCGTCTGCTCTTCCTGGCCGCCCCTCCCTCATGATCTGAACGTGCGTCTTTTTTGCTGTGTGCGATTGAAACTAACGTCCCTGCTTCTTCCTCAGAGTCTCATATTTTGGGGGGGGGTGGGACGAGCTACATCCAGGATGCTCAGAGCTTACTCCTGGCTCTGTGCTCAGGGGTCACTTATGGTATTGCCTGCGGGTCAGGGGGCGCTGGAGATTAGACCACCCTCCCCATGTGCTACTGCTCCAACCCCTTCATGGTGTCACTTCGTGACCCCGTTCTCTCTGGACTGTGGTCTCCATGTAGAGCCTGAACACAGGACCCTCTACTGCAGCCCGCCGCTGTCCCTGTCCATCCTCCCCCAGCCACTCGGAGCCTCCCACGAGCTGAGACCCGCTCTCCTCTCTCTGACACTGTCCAGTCCCGAGTGTGTCGCTCACATGTCCCTTCAGTCCTTCCTCAGTAGGGGGAGGAGCAGGCCCCAGAGGTGTGGACATGCAGGGCCCCAGCTCCGCCTCATGTGGCCCCTCCTAGCGCTGGTGCCTGGGCCCCCAGGGCACATGCGAAGCCCCCCTTGCGCAGCAGGTGGGACCCTGTGCCGTGTGGGTGCTGGGGCCTGTGCTCAGTCCCTAGCTATCTCCCTAGCCACAGCCTGGGACCATGACTCTCCGGCATGTGCCCATCGGGACGTATGATTTGGAGGGGTCCGTCAGGGTGGGTGACAAAGGCTCCCTTAGACCCTGACCCTGGTTTCCGTGGAGCCCCCCACAAATGCCTCTCTGGGCGGTCTTGCGGTGGTCTTGTCAGCACTGGCTGCCATGGAGTCAGCAGGTCTTACTTACTTCGGTCTTTCTCTTTTGGGCCACACCCAGTGGTGGTCGGGGCTCACTCCCGGCTCTGCGCTCAGGAATGACTCCTGTGGGGCTTGACCCAGGGCTGAGTGTGTGCAACTCACGTGCCCCACCCCTGTGCTATCAGGTTTTGTTCCCTAAGGGTCTCACCACCGCCATCAGGTGTCCCCGCGTTGGGGGCCGGCGAGAGTGCTGGATCTTGGCTCTGTCTCGGGTGGGATGGGCGAGGCAGCTCTCCTCCTCCACGGTGACCTGTGGACACGCGCTGTGAGTCCCGGGGCCAGCGGCCCCGCGAACTGCAGCAGATAATCCCAGGGTGAGGGGTTCGCTGTGTGCCAGGGCCCCGAGATGGGGCCAGGGCCCCTGCGCGGGGAGATGGGCCGGCAGAGAGGCCGTAAGGACTGGAGAAGAGCCCACAAAAGGGAGACAGGGCAGCAAGAACACGGGGCTGCCTGTCACCTCCCTCCCCGCGGGCTCAGGAGCTCTGTCCGCCCACCGCCCGTCCCTGAAGTCAGACCCCTGACCTCGTCCAAGATTCGGTTCTTGGCTCGGATGATGGCAGCGTTGAGGGCGCTGATCCAGAGCTCTTTCTCCTCCGGACTCACAGCCAGGAAGACCAGGTTGGGCGCCTGCGAGGGGACAGTCTTGTTGAAGCCGGAGTTTTGGGTGGCCACCTCACCCTGACACAGGGAATCAAAATTGGCAGCTACTGTCTTGGACCCAGCTCCAGGAGGAAGATGTCTTGGGTGGCACCTCTATGGCCAGCAGACCAGAGCCCAGCGTCAGCAAGTGGCCACAGTGCCAAGTCTGTTTCAGAAAGACCTGGAAAGGGGTAACTGGTACTGGAGGCCGTTGAAGGAGGCTCAACAAAGGACAGAGAAAAACAACGACCTCTGAATGTTGGGGAAGCAGACTGTGACACGGGGCTGTGCACAGGGAGAGGAGCTTGTTCAATCCCGGCATGCCACAGGGTCCCCTGAGAACTGCCAGGAGTAACTGCTGAGCACAGAGCCAGGAGTAGTCCTAAGCACCACCGGGAGTGGCCCAAAAGAAAAAAAAAGAAAAAAAGCCCAGACGGTGACAGGAATGACCGGTGGCCTTCCTGGGCTCCCTCGGACAAGAGGAATGAAATCGAGGACTCCCCTGGCTTCCAAAGCAGGGGACATGCAGGTAGAGAGGAAGGGGCGGTCCCTGTGGCTGGACAGATGAAGGCTGGCTGCAGAAAGGGAAGGAAGTGGGCACGGTTATTTCAGGTTAAATAATAAATGTTGGGCCATGCCCAGGTATGGTCCTCTGAGCACAGAGCTGGGGCAGAGCCTGAGTAAGACCCTCAAACGAGATGACCAACAGGCAGGAGGGGGCAGCAGGAGGGCCACCGGGGTGTGAAAGGAGGTGCTAGGGGGACTGCCAGCCTCACTGGGTCTCCAGGCTGCTGCAGTGACCCCTTCATCATGTCCCTGGGCTGCCTGCAGTGTCCCTGGGTTAGCTGCAGTGACCTTAGGCTGCCCGCAGTGACCCGAACCATGTCCCGGGCCGCCCCCGGAGAGCCTGCACTATGCCCCCGGGCCGCCCACAGTGACCCGCACCGCGCCTCCTGGGCCAACCGCAGTGACCCGCACCGTGTTCCCGGGCCGCCCGCAGTGACCCGCACCGTGTTCCCCGGCTGCCTGCAGTGCACCAGGGCGAACTTGCTGTGGCTCTTCTTGCTCCTGCTCCGGGACTTGCGCAGTTCCTCACACTTCTCGTAGTCGCTCAGGTCGAAGGCCTCTGGGATGCTCTTCTCATCTTTCACCTGAGGTGGGACCATGAGGTCACTTCCCACCCCCGTGGCGGCAGGAGCCGGCTACCCGCTCAGGGCCTCCTGAGTCCTCAGCCCGCACTGTGGCCCTGGCCCTGTCCTGAGGGCTGTGAGGGCCCCGTGTCTCCAGCTGGCCTGGTCTCCCTGAACTCCATCCCGACACTGCGGACACCTGCCCTGGCCCCCAGGAGCACCTGTGTCCAGGCTGGAAGGCCCCGGGTTCCGGCCCTGGCTCGGAGACTGGTCGGCAGCCCTGATGGGCTCCCAGGATGGTGTCTTGGCTTCTTCCCACAACCCCAGCCTGAGAGCTGCGTGCAACTGTGTCACTTCCCTGAGAGCTGCGTGCAACTGTGTCACTTTCCTGAGAGCTGCGTGCAACTGTGTCACTTTCCTGAGAGCTGCGTGCAACTGTGTCACTTCCCTGAGAGCTGCGTGCAACTGTGTCACTTCCCTGAGAGCTGCGTGCAACTGTGTCACTTCCCTGAGAGCTGCGTGCAACTGTGTCACTTCCCTGAGAGCTGCGTGCAACTGTGTCACTTCCCTGAGAGCTGCGTGCAACTGTGTCACTTCCCTGTGCAGTGTCCCCTCCCACCTCAGTGTTGTCCCCTCCTGCCACAGTGTCCCTACTTCAGTGTACGACTGAACTCACCACCTGTTCCACTCCACCAGCCTTTTCGGGCACCCCAGAGTGGATTCCACGAACATTTTGTGCAAGGGCCATTTTGACGTCTGCCTTTCTGAGTTCTCCTCTGCCTCCTGGGGATCCCCACACACTCTGCGGCTCTGGGGCTACCACTGAGGGGCTGCTACAGCCCCCGGGGAACAAAACAAGCCATGGCCACTGAGAGACAAAGCTCTCGCCTAAGTGGCCGGGCCCAGGGCTGCCAGAGCAGTGACGGCGTATTTTGCAGGAGGCCGGGAGACTGCCGGGATGCTCCAGAAGGCGGACCCCACTCCTCTCTCTGGACCCTGTCTCCTGGACCCTGTCCTCTCTCCCCAGACCCCGTCCCCCGTCACCCCTTCCTCCAGACCCCACCCCACCTCCTCTTCCCCGACTCTGAGTGGGCAAGGGGCTGTGACAGTGAGCAGTTGAGGTGGGTGAGTGGCCCCTGGCCCGGCCCGAGCCTGCCACGCTTGAACCTGGCGTGGCCCATGGACTCCGGGCATCTTGGCTGTGAGTTGTGTCCGAGAAGGGTCAAGGGCAGAAGTGCTGACAGCCCAGGGCTGCAGGAACAACACCCGGGAACTGGGGCGGGACCCGTCAGCGGAGGCCCGAGATCCTGGACAGGAAACTCTGGCAGGGGGTGGTCTGCAGTGGAGGACACTGTTTCCAGAGTCCTGCTTCCAGGTGGGGGGACGGGAGAGGGTCTGGCATGGGCACGCCTGATAACATGTCCGGGGACGGAAGTCAGCCTGTCACTGAGCAGGAGTGGGAGTTGGGGTGAGGGGAGCACAAGCCCGTCTAGGCTCGGGGAGTGCACAGACGCCCAGCCCCGGGCCCTGCAAGGCACAAGAGCACCCCCACCCCCCACCCCCACCCCAGCACGCAGGCGGGACTCTCCACAGAGGGCTTCTGGCCTCAGCCTCGGGCAGATCCTGCCTTGAGGGTGAAGCAAAAGTACTTTCAGGTGAGGGATGGACCTCCGCCACCACAGGCGAGGCCCCATGCATCCACTCACATCCAGGCCAACAGACAGCAAGCACTGAAGCCTCGCGAGCTATGGACCCTGGTTAACCCCTAACTGGAGCCCCCAGTGCCACCAGGTGCGGCCCAAATGACCCGCTCAATAAAAACAAGAAAGCTGGTCTCGACCCTCTTGGCTCTGTGGTTTGAGCGAGTGAGCAGACCAGGGTCCACTGCATCTGCACCAGGGGAAGCCGCGTTGTCCACGGTCATACACTCCTGACTCAGAGACACCCTCAGGCACGGCAGTGGTCACTGTGCCTGACCCCTTTACTGCACAAACGTGGCCCCGCGACCCAGGGGCTCACACCGGGCACAGACAAATACGGACCAGGAGCACTCTCCCCCCATCCCTCCGTTCCCAGCCTCTCCTGCCAGTTTCGCGCTGTTATGCACACGGGAGATGCACTTGGCCATCCCTTCACTTCCTTTGTTCACGCTGGGGAGCATCGTGGAGAGAGCCTTGGGAAGCTTCGGGGGCTGGGGCCAGGCTCTCTCTCCAGGGTGAAGGTGAAGGAACAGCCCAGCCAGCCCTGTCTGGCCTGGGCCACTCCTGCCACTAGGAAACAGCAGAGCCTCAAGACCCGACTGGAGGCATCCGGGGGTCCTGAACACCGGGCACTTCCCCGATTTCTGGTGGCACTTGCCCCGAGGACGCCAGCTTCAACGCCATAAAAGGTTTCTTTGACCTACCCCAAGTCCAGTGAGCTGTCTACTGCAGAAAGCGGAAGAGGCTCCAAGTTGGGGGCCCACCAGGTGGCCGGATCAGGGACCAGACAGGGCTGCCCCCTCCCCTCTGGGCAGACACAGCAGGCCTTCTAAGCCAGGGGCCAAGTCCAGTTATTTCTCAGTTATTCATCCGAGTCACCGAGAAGGCGGTGGACAGACGAGGGTCTGAGCAGGCCCCCTGTGGACCCAGCGTGGCCCTGTGCAGGGCGCGCGGCTGCCTGGCCACGCAGGGCCCAGCGCCCCGACCTCCTCCCCTCGCTTATGGGGACCCGAGCGGGTGGACGGAGCAGGACGCGGGGTCGGGCCCCGCGAGTCCCCGGTGGTCCTGATGCTGGCGGCGGCCCTGCGGGAAGGAAGGAAGGAAGGGCCGGGGGCGCAGAGTGGACAGGAAGGGCAATGCGGGGACGGGTCCTTCCTGCAGATCGGGCTGCGGGAGCGAGCGCCCCGACTCCGGGGCGGCGGGGGGCGGTCCGGACGGGGGTGGCCGCCGCCGGGCGCGGGTGCGGGAGCCCCGGCGCCCCCCGCCCGCCCGCCCGCCGGACCCCCGCCCGCGCCTACCTCCTTGTCGGACACCAGCAGCTGGTCGCTCCTCAGCACCACGTAGCGGTTCTTCCAGATCTCCCGGAAAATGCCCTTCCCGCAGAATTTCCGCACCCAGCCGACCTTCTCGGGGGGCGCCGGCTGCGCGTTCCCGTCCGGGGGCCCCTGCGCGGGGAGGGACGGAGGGAGGCCGCGGTCCGGCGCCCGCGCGCGCCCCGCACCCCGCGCCCCGCGCCCCGCCCGGCCCGGTCCAGCCCCGGCCACTCACCCGCCGGCCCGGCTCGTGCTTCCTCATGGCCACGCGGGGCCCGGCGCGCCCGCACCCCGCGCCCCGCGCCCTCCGCCGCGGCCCCGGCCCGGCCCCGGCCCGTGACGTCGCGCCGGAATCCAGGGGCGAACCCGGCGCCGCCGCGCGCGCCCCCCCCGCCCGCCCCGCGCCTTTGTTCCCGCCGCGCCGCCGCCGCCAACGCCGCCGACGCCGCCGCGAGGGGGAGCCGCGGGCGCGGGGGGCGCGGGGGGCGCGGGACCCGCGGGACCCCGCGCGCCGGGCAAAGTTTCCGGCCCGCGACGCGCCCGCGGGCCGGCGCGCGCCCACGCAGCCCCGCGCCCCGGTGCGTGCCCGGACGGACGGCCCGAGCGCGCCCGGGGCCTGCGCCGGCGGGGGTCGGGACCCCCGAACTTGGAGCGCAGGGGGGCCCTCCGCGGCACCTGGCAGGCCGGGGGGCACCGCTGACCCCCGTCCACGCTTGACCCGGGGAGTCCGATCCCCCCCGCCCCCCACGCCTCGTCTGTTTCAGGGGAAGAGGGGAGTCGGGTTCGGGGGTCCGGTTGTATCACACCTTTGGGGACCAAGCTGACTTCTCTGCGCCTCGGTTTCTCCACATGGGACATCCTGCGGGACGCGATGCCACCCCATGCCAGGAGGAAGGGGGATGCGGCTTTGCTTCTCCTGCAGGGTTGACTGTGGCACGCCACCCTTTCACCGGCTAAGACTTCTCCTAGCATCCTCCCATCAACCATCATGAACCCCTCCATTTTATTTATATATATATTTTTTAATCGATTTTTTTTTTCTTTTTGAGACACTCAGTGACACTTACTCCTGGCTCTGCACTCAGAAATTACTCCAGGCAGTACTTGGGGGGACCATCTGGGATGCCAGGGATTGGACCCAGGTCAGCTGCATGCGAGGCGAACACCCTACCCGCTGTACTATCACTCTGGTGGGGGTGGGCACACCTGTGCTCAGGGCTGACTCCTGGCTCCGTGCTCAGGGAATCGCCCCTGGTAGTGTTCGGGACCCTATGTGGTGCTGGGGTCACGCCCGAGTTGGCCACATGCAAGGCCGGTGCCCTCCCTTGCTGTCCACTGGTCCTCTCAAATGCTCCTACAGATCCGTAAGTTCTTTGAATCCCCAGCACTTTCTTATATAGCACTTAGAATAAATACTACTCCCCTTGGGAAGTCCAGAAACAGGACACGGCAGACCAGCCTGCCTGCCAGTCTACACAGCAACGTACTGGTTAAGTGGGTTAGAATCCAGATCTCCAGGTTTTCTGACCCAGCGTGCTGTCCAGGTTGCCCTCCCTCCCAATGTAGCCGACCTTTCCGCACCCGTTCCCGTTTCTGAGAGGAACAGGGATTCTCCTGGGGTGCTCAGGGATGGACCCCTGCTGTTCGGGCTCAGGGGGCAGGTCACTGGGATGCAGTCCCGGTGATGCTCAGGGCCATCCCACACACAATCTGTTACGCTGGCACTGACCTTGGGGCTTTGCATGCGAGCCAGTCTTTGGAGCTCTTGGGCCCCAGTGACAAACACCTGAGTCCTCCACTCGCACGGTGCCCGGGTCCTTCCAAACCCTCCACAGTGATGTCCAGACCTGCGGCAGACGCCATGGTTGGCCCCCCCTGGCACTGCTGCTTCCACCTGGCGCAACTCCCCTTCTGTGGGCCGGCCCCTCCAGCCAGTGCCTCCCTCACCAAGGAACCTTCGTGCCTCCACATTAGGATCTCCGTGTGGACTGTTTCCTTTCCCTTTTTCTTTCCTGGGCCACACCCAGTGGTGCTCAGGACTTCCTCCTGGCTTTGTGCTCAGGGATCACTCCTGGTGGGGCTTGGGGAACCTCCTGTGGAGCTAGCTGGGGTTGGAAGTATACAGCAAGTGCCCTACCCCCAGAAAAGGCACGTGTTACGTTTTTGGTTTGGGTATACACTTAGCATTGCTCAGGGCTTACTCCTGACTCTGTGCTCAGGGATCACTCCTCGCAGACTTCCTGGGGTGCTGGAATTGAACTGGGGTTGACTGCTGCAAGGGGAGCACCTTGCCTGCTATACTATGGCTCTGGCCCTCAATTCTTTTATTTATTTATTGAATCACCGTGAGGACAGTCACAAAGCCTTTCAGTTCAAGTCTCGGTCGGTCATACAATGATCAAACACCGTCCCTTCACCAGTGCACATTTTCCACCACCAAGAACCCTGGTATACCCCCCCCTCCAGCCCACCCCCTGCCTGTGTGGCAGACTTTCACTTTACTCTCTCTCTCTCTACGTTGATCACGTTCAATATTACAACAAAAGACCCAACATGGTTATTTGGAATTTTCCCCAACATTCAGACCTGCCACAAAGACGTAATCAGAAAATTTGTTTTCTATTGCTGATTATGATGAGCATATGATGTCATGTGGCCACAACAGCGGCCACGCGAATTTGGATTTCTGACATTTTAGTAATAAACCTAGAGGGGTTACTGCCAGAAGCCCCTGGGTTCCGAGACTGGTATGTGTCCCTTTGGGATCATGGTCGGTGAGAAGCCGGATGAAGGCCCCCAATTCTTTTTTTTTTTTTAATCCAAACAAACATCATTATTTATTTTTATTTATTTTTTGCTTTTTGGGTCACACCTGGCGATGCACAGGGGTTACTCCTGGCTCTGCACTCAGGAGTTACTCCTGGCGGTGCTCAGGGGACCATATGGGATGCTGGGAATCAAACCCGGGTCGGCCGCGTGCAAGGCAAACGCCCTACCCGCTGTGCTATCGCTCCAGCCCCAGGCCCCCAATTCTTAACTGAGGAATGTCTGACTGTGACAACTTGACTCATGTTCACCGAGCTTGCTCCTCAGTGAGCAGGGTACACAGACACAGACACAGACACACACACACACACACACACAGATACACACGAAAACACAAACACAGACACACACAGATACAAACACACAAAGATACACAGATAGCCGCACCTCCCCTCCCCCATCCAGTTCCTCTGTCTGGTGGAGATGGACACAAGCAGGACTCTGGACGTGGTCACTGTCCTCAGTGCAGCTCCAAGGTGAACCAGAGCTCATTCTCTCCCTGGGTAGTAGACTCCACGGGAAGCAGGAAACTACCAAAGACAGGCTTGAGATGCCCGGACAAGTCACTGCACAGAAACTGCTCTCCAGGGGCTGGAGAGACAGGACGGCAGGGAGGACACTGGCCTTGCGTGTGGCCAACCTGGCACCCCCTATGGTTCCCAGAGCCATTCCAGGAGTGACCCCTGAGTGCAGAGCCAGGAATAAGTCATGAGGACTGCCGGCGTGTCCAGAAACAGACACTGCTTCCCAAACAGTGCCTTCCTGACAAATGAGCACCTCCAGTTTTATGGAGTAAATGGGACATGGGGTTTCACCAGGGCGTTTGAGTCTATGGAAGATGGATGATTACGAGCCTGTGTGCTCTACATTTCAATGATTTTTTTTTTTAATAAAGAAGGCTACTAATAATGGAATCAGCCAAGAAGCCAAAACACAGTGGCATCAGCTCAGAGCATTTCGTTTGGTTCTGCTGTACGGAACCTCACGGGGCCAGGCAAATACTCCTCTTGGCCACTGAGTCACGAACTCCCAAGGCCCAGCTCTGATCATCAGACATGGAAATCGTGTCTGAGCAACGCTAGCCCCTCACAGCAGACATCCCGAAGCGAGGCTCTAAGACGCCTTGATGACCGTGCGGCCACGAGCAGCCAAGTGCCGAAAGGGTCGCTCTGCCCCACAGAGCATCTTGCCAAGAAGTGGAGCATGGAGGGAGATGGGCTGTTTTTAAAAAGAGGAGGAAACTTGTGAAACGCTGCGTTAGAAAAGTTGCCTCCTAAACTGCTGGCGATCTCAAGGGCTGGGCGTGACTCAGCGGAGAGCACTGCTCTGGGCGTGTTCCCTGGGCTGCATCCCTGGCACTGCGGGTCCCCAGGAGGTCGGCATGGTCCCCTCCCTCCACCTAGCACCACTGGTCCCATATAAAATCAAACAAAAGAGGAATTTGGGAACGTGGGAGGAGGCAGCTCGGAGGGTGAGGCAGACGCTTTGCTCATTGGAGCCCCCGGTGTGATCCCTGAGACCATCCGAACCTGGAGTAGCCCCGAGCACGGTCAGTGTGGTCGCCAAAAAAAAAAAAATCCTCCTCGAAACAAAATTCACAAAAGCAAAACCAAACAAAAAGATTTAGCTTTTGTCATCTGGATAATCCTTAGGAGCCCGGAGGCCTCAGAGCTGCGTGGCAGGCAGGGGCCCATTAACTCTCCACTTTCCTTTCTTGGGCTGCTAGTATGGGCCGGGAGAGGGACACAGGAATCGAATCATTCTGTGTCGTGATTTTATAATACTTAACACCTGTAAAATTCTTCAGGTGTTTCACAATGCTCCAATGTTTTTGTTTTTGGGCCCTACCCACCACGGTGATGATCAGCGCGTACTCCTAGCTCTGTGCTCAGGGATCACTCGTGGTGTCTGCGGACCACATGGGATGCAGAGTTGAAACTGGGTTGGCTGTGGGAAAGGCAAACGCCCTCCCGGCTGTACTATCGCTCCAGCTCCAATGCCCCACTGTGCCGAGTGCCTTAAACGCATTATCTTACTTCACTGAATCCTTACAATCCTCTGTTATTTTATGATTCTTGTTTCACTGAGCCACGAAGAGACTAACATGTAACTGTGAATCTGGGCTGATACCTGAGGACTTTTCTCACATGAAAGTGAGGTTAGGGGCTGGAGAGAATAGTATAGAGGTTTTAAGGCCTTGCACATAGCAAGCACCAAGCACCAAGGAGTGTAAACAGAATCCCCCGCATCCCAAAATCAGCGAGGTTAAAAAGTATATGTACGGTGGGTAGGGTGGTTTGCCTTGCACACGACCAACCTGGGTTTAATCCTCGGCATCCCATATGGACCCCTGAGCACCGCCAGGAGTAATTCCTGAGTGCAGAGCCCGGAGTAACCCCTGAGTATCGCTGGGTGTGACCCAAAAAGCAAAAAATAAAAGATCAAAAAAGAATTTTTAATTCAAGCTAAGTAATGCTGGGTGCCAGGGCAGCTGGTACTGGGGACTGAACTCAGGACTTTGGGCACATGTCTGTGACCCCTGAGCCACTCTCTCCAGGTCCCTGTGCCACTGTGAGTCACTATGATTCGATAACACAATTTCCTGGCTTTCATGACATCATCACTTGCCCCTGGTTTCAAGGAGAGACACTGTCCCCCGGAACATGTGGTTTGCTTCGATAGAAGAAGAAAGAGAAGAAAGGATCCAGGTGAGGCCTGTCCCCATGAACCCCCAGACAGCCACCAATCCCCAAGAAACAACACAATCGCTTGCCTCTTTTCACAAAATGTTTATTGTCATCATACACGATTCCTCAGGGCCACAAAATGACAGTGGAGGGACAAGCAGCATTTCGGCGGCTCTCAGAAAATACGATGATTTTTCAGAAATGAGATGCACAGGAATGTGGTCACAGGACATGGAAGAGATCAAGAGAAGGGCGACTGTTTGTATGATCAGTCCACTGAGTGACTGCTCCCCGACTTTCCGATCTGCTGAGAACCTTTGTCTTCTATTAAGGATCCCAGCAAGCTTCATCGGGAACTGGTGTGGCTTGTAACACGAAGTGCACCAGGCATGCTTTCCTGGAGAGACAGACGGTGAGGCGAGTGGCCCGTGGGTCTGGATGTTGCCAGAGCTCTGCCCGGTCACTCTCCGTGTGGCCAGGCCAGGAGTCAGCTGCCTGGGGATGGGGCCAGCAGGGCGGCTCTGCTGCACACCTGGTCAGTGGGGACAGCCGGCGAAGCCAGAGTCGGAGAGCTCTGTGCCCTTCTCCTGCCACTGCACACTTTCACCTTCGGCTGGCCGACCTCGGGGTCACGGGAGCGTTCTCCAGGCTGGAGCTGTGCAGTCCGGAGGCTAGAACCTCCTCTAGGAAACTGACCAGGAGATTGGAGGTTATGGACAGGACAGAAGCAGCTCTGGAAAGAAAACATCGTGGGTCCGAGCGACAGGAGCGTGGGGAGGGCGCTGACTTGCAGGCAGGCAACCCAGGTTCTCTCCACGGCATCCCATATGGTTCCCCAAGCCCTGCCATGAGTGATCCCTTAGCAGAGAACCAGGAGCGAGCCTTAAGCACTGCCGGGTGTGGCCCAGAAACCAAAACAAAAAGAAAGATCTCGTGCATCACACGCCAATCAGACAGAACGCTACTGTGACTCAGAGCCAGGAGAGCGGCCAGAAAACCTGCCCGCACAGGAGGTCCTCTGGGTGCCGGCCCAGGGCCCTCACTACTTCCTGTTGTTCTTTTTGTACATGTATGTTTGGTTCGGGGGCCATGAAGCTTAGGAGGCTGACTCATGGCTCTGCCGTGGGGGGAACCACTTCTCTGCGGGACCAGGGGCCCATAGGGTGTGCTAGGAATTGGGCTTTGAACTTGACTGGCAGTGTGAAAAGCAGCGCCCTGTTGCTACAATACTGCTGTTTTTTTTTTTTTCCCCATTCATCTTTCAAGATCTGGGGACATTATTATTTAAAGCTGGAAGTTTCTAGTTGGGAACACAGAATGATTTTATACCAGCACCTCTTTCGGCTGTGGTGACGGGACTGCTCTCAGCACTGCTTTGGGGACAGGCGGCACCTGCATGCCAAGTCCAGACTCTGGCCCTTTCACATTTCCTCTGCGGTTCCTCTTAGCATCTTTTCTGTGCTCCTGAGGCGGTGCAGAACTTGTATCGTGACTAATTTCGTCCTCATCCAATCTACTCTAAGTGGCAGTAAAGTTATTTTGTTTCTGGGCCACCCCGGAGGTGCTCAGGGCTGACTCCTGGTTCAGTGCTTGGGGACTGGAGGGCCCTGTGGGGTGCCAGGGATTGAAATGAGGTTGGCTGCGAGCAAGGCAAGCGCCTTAACCCCTGTACGAGCTCTGTGGCCTAACTGATTTTTTTTTCTTTTTGGGTCACACCCAGCGATGCACTCAGGAATTACCCCTGGTGGTGCTCGGGGGACCACATGGGATGCTGGGAATCAAACCCAGGTCGACCCCGTGCAAGGCAAATGCCCTATCCGCTGTGCCATCGCTCCTGCCCCCTTACTGGTTTTTATAAAATACAAATTATATCCTATCGCAGTTTCCCACTTCCACTTAAAGGCCTTGTGCATGCTTACAGGTAATGCACAGGTTAAACTTCAAGGGCTGGGGGAGACGCTCAACGGGCCAGAGTCCCTGCTTTGCATGCTAGACGCCCTGCATGGTGGGGACAGTCCCCAGGCACTACCAGCTGTGGCCCCAAAGCCTGAAAAGAAAAAAAAAAACCCCAAGGCTCTTTAGTATGTGTTCCAATAATAACTAATATTTGCATTTAGTTTAAGCCTTCATGTGCATATGGATGTAAATGTAAATTTATACATGTACCGGCATTTTGGGGTGTGTGTGTGTGTGTGTGTGTGTGAGAGAGAGAGAGAGAGAGAGAGATTGGGAAAGGGGTACTGCATCTTCACTGGAAAGATGAGGCCAGCACACTCCGGAGTCTGGCTTTCTGGCTGCCCCACTGGCATTCAGACCCAGGCTCCAGATGCCAGGCCCGTGGGCACCGAGCAGTTCCTGGGTGTGTTTGTGCCTGAGTGCAGAGCCAGCTTCTACTCGGAGGAGAAAATCCTTTTTTGTTTGTTTTTCGGCCACACCTGGCAGCACTCAGGGCTTACCCCTGGCTCCACACTCAGGAGTCCCTCTTGGTGGGTTTGGGGGACCAGACCATACGGGGTACCAGGGATCGAATCCTGGCTGGCTATGTGTGAGACAGGTGCCCTCCTGGCTGTCCTGGCTTGGCCCCAGGAAATCCTTTTTAGCTTGAAAGACTGAGGACGCCTTGCTTACCAAGATCCTCTGGGCTGAGCTAACCACTCCCAAGGCACCATCACTTTATTTTCCTAGTGGCCACTAGCTCCAGGAAGCAGGTGCTGTGGGAGCTCCCAGTGGCCCAGAGTTGAGCTCCAGGCTGGGGTGAGACCCACTCGGCTGGCCTGATGGGGTTCAGAACGGAGACTGAGGCCACCGCACAGGAGCACTGATGGCAGGACTGCTGATGGCCTGAGTGATAGCATCTGCTTGGACATACTCATGTGCTTTCATTTGGGAACTTCACGGGCCCCAGAGCACTGGGCTAAGAGCAGCCCCTGAGCACTGGGCTGGGAGTAATGCCTGAGCACTTCTAGGTGTGGCCTGCCCCTCACCCCATACTTATAAAATACCTCTTGGGGCTGGAGCGATAGTACAGCAGGTAGGGCACTTGTCTTGCTCACTTGGGCTGGATCCCTGGCACCACAGCACTGTATATGATCCCCTGAACCCCACCATAGTGATCCTTGAGCGCAGAGCCAGGAGAAGCTCTGAGCACTGCCAGGTTGGCCAAACTACCCCAACCAAAATATGAAAAATAAAGCAAGCATGCAGAGTCTCCTGCCTCCGCGCCTGGCTGTCCTCGCCGGGGCCCCTTGGAGGGGGGCGGGTTGAGTTTCCCTCCCCGCCCCGACCAGGGCTCCGGCAGCTGAAGACCTCCAGAACCAGCCACCACCATGCTGAGACCACTCTCCGCACACATGAAGGTACTGGCCGAGGAACAAAGGCACGCGGGTCCCGGGGCTGAGATCTCCAAGCCTGCTCGGATCGGGGCTGAGCATCCTCCACCCAGATCCTCCAAATTCCAGTAGGCAGGGGTCACACCCACCAACTGGCCCTCTGGTGCCGTGTAATCCCATCAATGGCCAAGGCCCAGAGACTATAAAACCCAGCTCCTGGAAGCGCGTGGCTGCATTTGTGGCCGCGCGACATCTTATTATCTCATTCTTACTTTGGACAAAATGGCAGGCTACCGAATGCAACCTGCCCACATGGCAGAGTCTGGCAAACTCCCCGTGGCATACCCAATATGCCAAATACCAGTAACAATGATGGGTCTCATTCTCCTAACCCTGAAAGAGCCTTGAATATGGCACTTTTTAAAAAAATCCCAGGGCTAGGATGAAGGAGACGTTACTGAGTCCTGCTCGAGGCAATCGACGAACAACAGGGTGGTCGTGAAAGCAAACATGCAGACGGATAAGAGGCACATGAGAAAATCACTAATCAGGGAGATGCAAATCAAAACAGTAAGATGCGTCTCACAACACAGACTGGGATTCATGAAAAAAAAAAAAAAAAAGAAGAAGAACAACCAGCACTGGGGCGGACAGAGGGAGAAAGGAACTGTCGTTCATTGGTGGGAATGCCGACTGGTCCAGGCTTTTTGGAAAACAATACGGGCCTTCCTCAAAAAACTAGGAATTGGGCTTCCACATGACTCAGCAGCACTACTTCTGCGAATACACCCAGGGGGCTGAGCAATACATGATGAAAAGCTATCAGCACATCGATGTTCACTGCAGCACTATTCACAGTAGTCACGATCATGATCACGACCATCCTGTTGTTCGTCGATCGCCCAGTAACGTCTCCTTCGCCCTGAGATTTTTAAAAAAAGTGCCATATTCAAGGCTCTTTCAGGGTTAGGAGAATGAGACCCACAGTAGTATTCGCAGTAGTCAGAACCTGGAAAACAATCCTAGTGTCTGAGAACAGAAGACTGGATAAAGAAACTACGGTACACACCTACACAGTAGAAATCTACCTGGCTGAAAGGAAAGATGAAGTCACGCAATCCTCTCTACGGATGGATCTCTGACTGTGCCGAGTCAGAGGGACCAGCACAGAAAGATCTCCCTCTTGCAGGGTAGAAGAAAATGTGAAGGGGAGTATCAAGCACCCAGAGGCAACTGAAACGAAGAGCAAGAAAACTGGTCTTCAAGTAGGAAGCAGGTCACCGGTGGGGCAGGGCCGCGTGGGAGACACGGGACAGGGAGGGGACCAGCACAGCAATGGTGGACGCAAGTGGTCACTCAGGAGAGGGGGCTGAGAACTGGTGAGTGTTGAGCATGAAACCCTTGTCAGGAACGTTACTGTAAGCCAAAGTGCCAAGAATTTACCTCTAAAGAGCCTACCAAAGAGGTGGGGTGAGGGGAAGGAGGAAACAGGGGACACTGGTGGACGGCAGTGGACATAGGTGAAGGATTTGGTGCTGGAATGCTGGATGTCCGAAACCCAATCACAAATAACTTTGTAATTCACGGTGACTTGTTGGATAACATTGTTTAGTCCTTTCTCCTCCTAGGAGAAAGGAATTTAGATTTAGTGAGTAAAATCTAGGTGTTTAGGTTCATTGAGTAATAAATACCTACCACAATGCTCCCAAAGTGCTATTTCCTCAGTATTTTATCTTTAACTTCTCCTGTCTGTTAATCACTTATTTCCCCTAATCAGACCCTGTGACTTGTAAAGTCAGATTCCTCAGAGGATTCTGGATTTTGTAAGTGAAATATTACTTTTCTCTTCCCCTTATGTCCTCTGCAGTTTACTTTAGAGCAATGTCCTTTTTGTGCAGGAAGACAGCTGATTCTATGCTCTTGTTTCTTGAGAGTTAATTGACTCCAAATAATATTCACTCCTGGACATCTGTCATATTTACTCGACTTAAGTCTCAGCTGCCCTTAGTTCATGGACCCCCAAAAGGAGGGTCCTTGGTAAGGAACTTAGATGGGTCCAGGGCAAGCTGTAAGCTACCTGGGCATCGAAAAGGGGCAGGCAAGTACCATAAAACTTATATGTAAGAGCACGGTCATGGACAAACTCTGTCATGACCCAAGAAGACGTAACTGGACAAGGGCCCTGCTGGGGTTAGGAAGGAGTAATCTGGCCTCAGGACTATAGTCTGGGATATATAGTGAGATGTCCCAGGAAGAGCCACCCTTTAAGCTTGGTAAATCTTATTGTGTCCATACAAAATGACTAGAAATACCTTTTTTTTTTCCCTTTCTGGGTCACACTCAGCGATGCTCAGGGTTTACT